GAGTTTCATTGGGTAGGTGACGATTGTCATGGGCCCTTAGGGGGTTAGAAAAGTATGGCGTTAAATATGTTGAGAGTTAACCAATGTGGCTCTGAACGACCTCTAATGGCCGTGGATGACAGAGCCTGAAAATACTCAATGAGATTCAATATTATATACAGTCTAGTCTAGGAAAGAATCACATCGAATTCCAACTGAAAAATTGTAGAAGCACTCGATGTAAGCTCCAATGCATAGTGTCATTTTATTACAAATATAATTACTACTCATGAGTGGTGGAGATGAGACCTGTAAATTTAGTGCGGCCGTCGAATCTCAGTTCGAATGAATCGGTGTATCGTAGTCATAATNGTTAAGCTCCAAAGGCTGGTCTGCACACAAGTGACTTGTCCCTAAACACTCGAATAAATATCAGTTAACTCCCAGCAAAATAAGCAGGCAAGGGGAGACAAACATCATCCAAAATTTCGAACATCCAAATTAATTTCCCATTTTCTTCCTCCAGTACCTTGTACTGTATTGTCGTAATTATAAACGCGGAAAGCGACCTAGATCGTCACTTTGCATTCTCATCACATTAATCAGTGTACATGGGCATATTCGGAAATAGCCGGTAGACTGCCAGTTAGTAAATATATAAAGACAGCTCTTTCAGAGTCAGTCAATTGAAGAACCAATGCTATGATTCAATGTTTTGTAGTTAAGTTAGATACTACAAACCACAACCAATGTGACTGGACAAAACTTCTGAAAGAGCTGTCTATCCAAAAGTTACCAGGTGTTGCAAACAAGGTTATTGTGACGAGAATAAATTTCCTGGGTACAATTATATGAAGAAACGGACAAAAGATTACCTGATACGCATATATATATATATATATCACATACCTCTGACGCCAGACTGTGCGCCAAACAAATAATGGTACAAAAATCTTTATAAAAAGAAAAAAAGCATTAGAGGAACTACGCAAAAAAGAAAAACGTTCCATGATTTACACGTGGAGTGATTACCGCCAGGTTGCCCAGGCCAAGGAGTTCCGATAAACAGTACAAAATTCACAATAATGACTTCTACTCTGAGTCACACATCTCAGAATGTCTGTAACCAACGACAGTCTTCAGCTCTTAGGCAAAGAACTGGAAGATAAACTGCGACAACTTAGATAAAAACTGAAGCCTTATTTATTCATACATTTAGTACCTACTCGTGACACTTCTTCCGGCCTTCCAAAAACACGCGAAGTGAGCACGGAAAAATAGACGATGAGAAGATATATGCAAAACGTGATCAACGTACCAGAGGTACTGTAGAGCAATTAATTCTTTTAAAGCCAGATAATCAGCATCCAACATAAGACAACAAACCTCGTCAGTGCTCACTCGATGTTCCCATCAGAGCTCGAATAATGATTAGAAGGCGTCGACGGTCAAATATATAATGTACCAGGACGATCAGTTCGAGTGAGAACCACTGGAGGATCCCTCCAGTAGTTCTCACTCGAGCTGATCTCTTCATACGAAAAGCTGAAGTCCTGTCCACACTTCCGGAGACTTGCTCCTTGGGGCTGCGTTAGGTTTCCTGGATGGTTAACCCGGGATCACCAAGGAACCGGTGTTTAGAGACATTGAGTGATGCAGCTGAGTGTTGCAAACAGTGATGCTCGTGCATGTACGGAGAATCTTATCGAAAACCAAGAAGCAACAGGAAGATAAAAACCGAACAAATGTGATCTACCGCATCAACTGTAAGGACTGCAACAAGTACTATATCGGTCAAACGGAGAAAACTAGCAACTCCCGTGCACGAGCACAAACCGTCAGAAGACACGATGCGCTCTCACTCATCCCAATCCACGAGGACCGAGAAGGACACAGCTTCGATTTCGAAAACATCAAAGTCGTCGATCAGGCCCGCGCCAAGCACGCAAGAGAATTTCTGGAAGCTTGGCATTCATAGGAAAACTCGGTCAACCGACACATTGACATCGATCAAGCCTACACCCCCATGTAACAAAATGACCAATCAACGCAAAGAAGGTGGGTCATGTCACACGTGATAACAGGACAACAGTAACGCTTAGGCTGATCGATCAACGGCCCGCCGTTATACTGCTCGCGTCCACCTCATCCCCTGTCGGCACAAGGCAAACAAACCTTGACCAATCAGGCAACGCCACGTCTCAATATCACTCAATGACCTATATAAGGAAAAGGACACTCGTGAGCGCTCACCCAGTTACTGCATTGAGAATGTGACCTCGATTGGTGATGAAACGTTTGCAATACAAATGCCAAGCTCGGTGAACAACTGAACATCAAGTTATGCTACTCGAGCTACAAAAACAGCATTCAACACCGTTGTTTGGAAACTGTTATATATATATATATATATATATATATATATATATATGTCTGTGTAAAACTGTGAACAATAGAGCGAATGGATACACAACAGAAAAATTCGCGTAATAATTCAAAACCTCGTCTCAATGAGTGGAGCTCATCAAATCGAACCATGGACTCTTAGCCCGGCAAACAGACCTCGCTGGGCAAGGCTTTCGTGAACTGCAAACTGTTTATGTTGTCTCAATCCGCAATTGNTTGTATAATGTAAGATGTTACAGGTAACGCTCACCAAGCAAAAGCTATGATTTACTTCAAAACGATTGTTTCCCTATGTATGCTGCTCCGGTCAGTAAGTCCACTGTGGACCGAAATCTGACTGAGCGCGGGTGTTTGTGGACGGTGCTGGGACGGGGAGGGTGCTGGGTTCGCAAAACTTTATGAGGACCACTCAGGCTTAAATATGCGACGCGCTATCCGTTTTGTTCCTACTTTGTTTTCTGATGCGCGTCCATCTGCAGTTCTCTATCTCCATTCCCATAATTGAAATGTGTCAGGATGGACCGCACAGAACCCGTCAAGCCGCGTACGGATCCGCATCACACCCTCGGCACGATCGAGACGCCCAGAGCTAGTCGATTCCGGATTGGATGACCACTGTACGTATCAGACAGCTGTCGTTCAATCGACCAATCGTAGTTTCAAAACGCGATTTGATTGGTGCGGCACAACGGATCGCATCATGCGTATCGTGTCATGCTCAAGATACACTGATTGTTGTTCTCCAGTCATGTTCTCTCGAATCATTGTTGAGGGCTAGGCAGGAAGCGCTCGTCTTGGCGTAAGTCAAGGCTGAACGCTACAAATTGGTTACGTGACCTAATTTGCATAAGCGAGATACGCCCTAATCATTCCTACCACAGTGGATGTAACAAACAGCACTCTCGAGCAAAGCATACCAATTGCACATTTGCTCGCGAAAAAAGTCCATTGTCATAGAAAGTACATTATTCCCCACAACATACTTCGTGGTACTGCAAATGTAATACTCGCCCGAAAATCAGCACTCTGTCTGAGTAGATTACTAGATCATGACCCAGATCCCCGATCGGTCCAAACTCACGAACTCGGGCCATCAGGACTATCTTCGAATGACACTCGTTGGACATGTTCATGAAACAACGAAATGTGGACGGATCCAGTTGTCCCTGATCACCCAAAAGGTACAGTATTGAGTGTGTGGACGGGGCGGGTGCAGATGGGTGTGTTTTGAAACTCTCGTTCCCGGTCAATCGTTGCCAGTGTAGTATACTTCCATTATAATCCTTTACATTGAGCAGAGCACAAATATGATTGATCTCACTTTTGTCCTCTGTGTGGGGCAATCTGCGATCCCCTGTGTACACATCGATAGCTGAAGTTGTTGGTCGAGTTGAGGCGACAGATGTCACTGGAGGATCTATGTGGACAAATAGGATGATCGGGAAATGCAGGAAAAAGGATACACTTATCTGATAGTACACAATAAAATATTATTATTATTATCATACTTCACACACGTCTGACGCTAGATTGTGTGCCGAACAACTCCTGGTACAATAATCTTTATAAACGCTCGCGGTTGTCATAGAAAGCAACATTTTTGTGACAGTGTGGTAATAGTTTTGACGAGACTTGTTGGATTGAGTTGTTTATGGATTCGAATCAGCCGTGCATTAGAGAAGCGTGAAACTATGCAATTTCCCCGACCCAGTTTTTATATTCAATAGAAATAACAATATGCACGGAAGTAAAACCATTAACTAGGTGCTCACTGGAAGACCCATGATTCACTTCCAAAAAAGCCCGTCATTCCTGGGTCCTGGCCTAACAGATCCTCAGCAGGCAGCCAATGAATAACAAGCATGCACTTAGTGCAGTCTGATTGGTCAATCGAATCAAGATCATGATTGGTGAACGTCCATGTCTTGTGCAGCTTTGTATGTATGGCCGCAGGCACATAAAGCATCGACATTGCGAATTTAATGGGAGCTATATACGGAGGGGTTATCCGACAAATGCCTGTTTGGCCATACAACACTCAGGAAGCATACTCCTTAAGAGCTTTCACTTCCTACGAACAAACACTTGGTTTCGGTCACGACTTATTTCACCATTGAACTACATTAATACACCAAGAGAGAACGCCTGCATATTGCGAACACACCAATTGAATCGTTCACTTACATAATGAGAGCGAATGCTGCCAAGTTCTGTGCTAAACACAGCTTGCGACCAGCATTAAATATTCGGTAAGCTTGTGTGAACACTAACTTGTTCAGGTGTTTCGTAGAAGGCCATAAGAGTGTTCCGAAAAAAATGTCTAATTTAGCATAAATAATTCCTATGCGCCTACGAATGTTGAGCAAAAGGTTTCCAGATGCACAAAAATATTTATTGGTTAAACAATACATTTTCTCGAAGTATTCTCCATCAGCATTTACGCACACAATTCCATGTGCTAAAACCGTTTGGTGAAACAGATCGACCAGACCGAAGCTGGTGTAACCCTTCGACCAGTTAAATGAAGGCCTCCACTGCAGCTGTTGGTGACTCGTATCGGATTCAACGCATCATGCGCTTGATATTTGGGAACACAAAAAATGTCTCATCGAGCCAAATCNTGGATGCGTTGTCTAGCCAGAAAGTTGCCGACAACATAGAACCTTTGTGCAGCTGCGTTGTCATAATGCAACAATGTCCTCGTGTACGGGAACTTGGTGGAAACCTGGCAACAGATTCCAGCTGATTGTTGCTTGATCTCTGGATTGAAACCGTACCACTGATTATCTCTCAAACTGCATTGGAACGTCCACCATCAAACCTGGCAGGCATGGTGCGACACTAATTCACTCGAACTGCTTTTTGTTCCTCACTGCGCTGATCGGGTACCTAGCGTGTGTAAACTTTTCTCAGGCCGAGATTCTCAAGCAGATAGTGCAGATTGATCCCAATGGTTTTGGCCAGCTGTGCCATTGTCACCCGCGCATCCTCCTCCACCATAGGTTGCACAGCAGCAAAGTTGTCTGCTTTGGTGGCCTCCACAGGNCGCCATGTCTCATTATTCAAGGACCGCCTGCCATGCTTGAATTCCACAAACTACGTAAACACAGTGCCTCTTGAAGACGAGTGTAGTAGTCGAAGTACGAACAGATCACGAATTACAAACTACGCATTAGGAATCACGGATGCCACGAAAACACTGGATCTCACTGGCACTTGCACGACGGTATTCCACGCAGCCTAGACACAAGGAAAAGACCATAAGAGTAGTAGTTCGTTTATTGGAAGAGATCAAGTGGGTTAAAAAACTTCTAAGAAAGAAAGTTATTGGTTAGCTAGGCATTTGCCAATCACGTTCTGGTATTCTTCGCACCGTACAGCTTCTGTCTGGGCCGCACAGCTTCTGATTGATCGGCACAATCGGCCTATGTTTGGTTGCCTAGATGCTGTAATGCGTAGGCGCTTTGCTGGCGTCATGTGTGAAGCTCGACTCATCACATTTGTTCGGAAACTGTAACGTGCCGCCCCGTCGTTTGTGTCATCCCGTTTGCTAGGATCAGCACAGTTGGTCGACACCAAAGGCAGCTGCTGCTACTTTAAACCACATTTATAGTCGTGGAAGACCATCGCCATTCAGTGACATCGACCGAGTCCCATCCAAGTATAGCGGTGCCCCTCATGACTGGTGAGCTGTTCTCGGCTGTATTGATATTGGGTTCTGTGTGAGTTTCAATCACTGAACAATTTTCATGATAGCTTACAGTTCACGTTTTCCTTGCCCAGTCATCTGCACCTCGTACTCGTGCGCTGCGTATCTGGAAACGTTCTGCTAACCTCTCATAGGTGTGGTGCGTGTTCAGTTGTTTGCTACTATCCCTGACATATGCGTGGACGGCTATCGTAAAATGCCTTACTCCAGCGAATAATGAGGCTGTCTGGTCGAATCGAGGAAATTCACTGTAACTTTCTCAGCGTGACAGTTGGGAACTTACGAGCGCCCACTAGTCCTGTTGGTCGGTTTGGGAACAAACATAATACCAATGCAACCATAATGAAAACGTACGTTCAAAGGCGAACAGTTGTCCTCATTGATACACCTCCTAACCCGTACATATTATCGAATGAAGTGACATGTTAGAACGGGGATTGGCATTCGGTCGCTCAAAGTTCAAAGTGATTGGTTCGGAGAGCGATGTGGGGTGACGCGTTTCACACCATTAGGACACGAGAACAATATAACTCGGTTGAGATGCCGGGGTTACGGTGCAAATAAGGAACATGAAAATTGGGGGTGGGGGTACAGATAAGGGAAAACAAGAAAAAGAAGAATAACTTAGCTTCACGGTACACATTTTGATAATTGTCTTTCGTGGTGTACGAGGTTTCAACAAACNNAACAAACAGACCTTACAACATTCCCACCACTGACTTCTATTCTGAGACATATCTCTCAGTGTCTTTGATCGACGACAGTCTTCAACCATAAGGACTCAAAGAGGAAGGTGAGATACACTAACCGAAGTCAAGGATGAAACCAACTTTCGCATACCCCAAATGACAAATCATTGTATGACCGATGTGATGCTTGTTCCAGCTGTTCTAGGCGTGTGCAAAGAGAGTATGGAGAGGTAGACGATAGAAAAGCACACACCGACCATGAGCGAGTCATAGGGTACAGTTTGAAGTGATTACTTCTGTTAGGCAAAGACTATATGCACCCAAGATACATAGAGGACGAACCTCGTCGTTGTTCACCCNNNTCACCCGGTGTTCTCACCAGACAAGAGCACTGCTTTGGAGATATTGGTAATGGAATACAGAAAGCCGATTAGCATCGTCAGCGCTGAGAGGCCAGGTCTCGTAACAGTAAAACAGAACATCACGCACCACTGTGATGTACATCCTTCGCTTTAGGGGCAGTGGGATGTCATAGAGGCACCACTGAGGTTGTAGAGTGGTAAAAACTGCTCAAGATTTTCATCATGTGGTCTCCTCCCCAACGTCACTTCAAGCCGTGCTCAAGCTCCAGAGTTAATTCTTGCTGATTACCACAGAAGGTGCATACACAAACGTTTTAAGCAACGATACCTTGCAGTGATAATCCGTTCTTTTAATTTCGTTTCTACTCGTGGCATAAACACATCCCCAGGTTTGAACAAACGGAACGAGGGATTTGCTTGTTCTTAATCGAGGCTTGTTCTTCTACGTGGTGTT